GGAGCCCGATGCGGGACTCGATCCTGGGACTCCAGGATCATGACCTGAGCCGAAGGCAGTCGCTTAACCAACTGAGCCACCCAGGCGCCCCAAGAGAAAGGATAAATTCTAAAAACAAAAAACATTGGCTCAATATAAAAAGTAGAATAGACAATTAGTTACATTTTTTAATGTTAGGAAGAAAAGAAAATCAGTAGTTTCACTTAGAAAGATATCCTGTAGGGGCACCTGGCTGGCTTAGTCAGAAGAGCGTGCAACTCTTGATCTCAGGGTTGTAAGTTTGGGCTTCATGTTGTGTGTAGAGATTACTTAAAAATCTTAACCAAAAAAAAAAAAAAATAAGGAAAGAAGTATATCCTGTAAAACAAGAAAAACCTGTAAAACTAAAAATATTAACTTTACTTTAAAAAGTAAATTGATTAAGTTAACAAATTAGGGAAGTTATAGGTCTAGTATGACATATCTCAGCAAATTATTTGAAAATCTGAGTGATACCTTTCTGATAAATAGACAATGATTAAAAACATTAGTAGCATTCAGAACTGTTCAAATAATTTACAACCCTATTCTTTAATGCCCTTGATAAACTTGAGGTATCACTTTCTTTATTACATCTTTGTAGGATTCTGTCTTGGGCCCTGATTTGTTCAACAATTTCACTAATATTACAAATTGATCATACAACTTGATTTGCAGTAATGAAAATAAAAAATTTTAAATGATTTTGCATAATGAAATACATGAAATATTTGAGTGAAATATTAAAAAAATATGAAGTTTTACACTTAGTCTTATAAATTTGTAGTACAAAAAAACAGGAGGAAAGGATAAAGAAAAGTCAGAGTTAAAAATATCAGTGGCAGTAGTCTTGTTAATGGGAGGGAAGATCAAAATGTGGCATTTGTTCCTGACCTGTAGCCTCTGGTCACTTAAAGGAGACTGTTTATTGCAAGAGGCCTGTCAATTCACCATATACATGTATAATATACGAGAGACTATCTTACTGGAAAAGTTGAAGGCTTAGATGACTGTATGCTTATTATTAACCAACAGTGATTTGGCTTTTCTAAAAACAAATTGGGTCAAACATAATTATCATTACACTCTTATATTGTGGTTTCTAATGTGACCTATTTTTAATCTATAATATAGGTACAAGGTAAGGGTTGAGGTTCATTTTTTACAAATGAAAGTCCAATTCTTTCAATACCATTTATTGAAAAGATTATGTTTTCTCATGAAGTATCTTGGCACCTTTGTTGGAAATAAACTGCTATAAAAGTGTGGGTCAATTTCTAAACTATTCTGCTCAATCAATCAGTATGTCTGTTCTTATATCAATACCATACTGTCTTGGTTACTGTAGCTTTATACTAAGTCTTAAAGTCAGATCTTGTGAATCCTCCAACTATATCCTTTTTTTTTCCAAAATTATTTTAGCTATTCTGGTTTCTCTATTTTTCATATAAATTTTAGAATCAACTTATCAGTCCTGAGATTTTGATTGAGATTACATTTCATCAGTAGACCATTTTTGCTAAAAATTATATGTTAATAATACTGAATCTTTCAATCCACGAATGTGGTTTATCTCCATTTATTTAGGTTTCCTCTAGTCTCTAATATTTTGCAGCTTTGGCATATAATTCTTGTACATATTCTGTTAATTTACCCTTAAAAATTTCATGTTTTTTAAGAGTTATAAAATTTTCTATTTCAATTATTATTTCTTGTATACAGAAATACAACTGAATTTTGTACACTGATCTTGTATTTTGCAACCTTGCTAGACTCAATTTTGCAACCTTACTAGACTTTTTGGGACTTTCTACATAAATGAATATATCATCTCTGAATGAATACTTACTGGATTATACAATGTTGACTAGAAATGTTGAGAATGCCTTGCCTTTGGTCTTAGGGGAAAAGCATTCAGTCTTTCACCATTTTGTATATTAGCCACTAGGTTTTTCATAGCTGCCCTTTATCAGGTTGAGGAAGTTCCCTTCTGTTTCTAGTTTGTTGAAAGTTTTCATTATCATTGGATATTGAATTTTGTCAGATTTTTTTTCTGAAGATAATCATATGGTTTTTCTTTTTTAGTCTGTTAAAATTTATACTGGTTGATTTTGGATTCATTTCTGAGATAAACCATACTCGATTGTGATGTATTACCCTTTTGGATTTGATTTGTTAATATTTGCTTAAGAATTTTTGCACCTGTGTTCATGAAGGATATTTGTCTGTAGTGTCCTTGTCTAGTTTTGGCATCAGGGTAATGCTGGCAGAACAAAATCAGTTTTGAAGTTATTCCTTCTTACTCTGTTTCCCGGAAAAGATATCATCCTTAAAGTTTTAGTGGAATTCATTAGTGAAACCATTTGGGCCAGGAGTTTTATTTCTGGGAAGGCTTTTTAAAACTTCAAATTAAATTGATAGAGGGCTGTTCACATTACCTTTCTGTTCTTGAATGACTTTTTCAAAGAATTGGCTTATTTCATCTTTTATTCTAGATTTTGGTAGTTTGTTTTCTTTCTTTTTTCTTTCTCTTTCCTCCACACCTCCCCGCCCCAAGATCAGTCTGGCTATGGATTTTATTTATTTTTATATTACTTTTTCTGTGTTCAGTTTCAGTGATCTTTGCTTTTTCTACTGTTCTTCTTTCTTCTTGATTTGGATTTAATTCCTCTTCTTTTTTAGTATTTTAAGGTGGAAGCTTTAACCTATCGATTTGAGATCTCTTTTGGTTTCTAATGTAAAAATTTAATGCTACACGTTTTTCTCAAAGCACTGATTTTACAAGGTCCAACAAATTTTTATGTATTGTTTTTTCATTTTCATTCAAAATCTTTTCTCATTTTCCTTGTGACTTTTGCTTTGACCCATGGATTATTTAGAAGAGTATTGTTTAATTTCCATAGGTTTGGAGATTTCTCAGACATCTTTCTCTTGTTGATTTCTAGTTTAATTCCATTATGATTGGAGAATATACTTTGTATGATTTTCAGTTTTTAAAATTAGTTGAAATTTGGTTTATGGCTCAGAAGATGGTCTGCGTTAGTTAATGCTCCATGTGTACTTGAAAAGTATGCTTCTGTTGTTAGGTTAAGTGTTCTATACATGTCATTTACAACCAGTTAGGTGATATTGGTTGATAGTGTTGTTCATATCTTAGATATCTTTACTGATTTTCTACTTGTTCTATTGATTACTGAGAGAGGGGTGTTGATGTCTCCAACTACGATTTAGATTTGCCTGTATATTTTTTCATTTCTATCAGTTTTTGTTTTGTGTATTTGAATCATTTGTTTTGGGGTGCATGTTATGAGTTGAATTGTGTCTCCCAAAACAATATATTGAAGTCCTCACAAGGACTGGGGTACCTTAGATGTGACCTTATTTGTAAAGAGGGTCTTTGCAGATGTAATCAAAGTAAGATGAGGTCATTAGGGTGGGCCCAAATCCAATGTGACTGGTGCCCTTACAAGAAAATGAAAGAACCATGTTAAGACAGACATCAAAGGGGCTCCTGGGTGGCTCAGTTGGCTAAGCCACTGCCTTCGGCTCAGGTCATGATCCTGGAGTCCCAGGATCAAGTCCCGCATCGGGCTCCCTGCTCAGCGGGGAGTCTGCTTCTCCCTCTGACCTTCCCTCCTCTCATGCTCTATCTCATTCTCTCTCTCAAATAAATAAATAAAATCTTTAAAGAAAAAAAAAGACAGACATCAAAGGAGTGAATACCATGTGGTGATGGAGACAGAGATTGGAGTTATGTTGCCACAAGCCAGGGAACACCTTGGGCTCCAGAAAACTGGAAGAGGCAAGGAAGCATCTTCCCCCTAGAGGCTTCAAAGAGAACATGGCTCTGCCAACAACTTGATTTTACACTTTTAAATTCCAGAACTATGAGACAATACATTTCTGTTGTTTTAAGCAACTCAGTTTGTGGTACTTTATTACAGGAGCCCTAAGAAACAATTACGAATTGTTATGTTTTCTTGATAAATGGATCCCTTTGTCATTATGTAATGTTTCTCTTTATACCTGGTAATAGTCCGTGTTCTGAAGGCTACTTTTTCTGATATTAATATAGCCATGACAGCACTATTTTATTATTTGCAGTATCTTTTTCTATTAATCTACCTTAAAGTTTACTTATTTTTTTTCCCTAGCTGTGTGCAGTCTGCATGTAATGTCATCAAAAGAATTCTTCTCCTCTGACTTTTTTCTTTTGTTTCTAGCATTTATATTTGATTCTTTTTTTATAGTTTCCTGCTCTGCTGAAATTTCCCACCTGTTCATGTAAGTTTCCCACCTTTTCCCCTAGATCTTTTAGTATGTGAATCATAGTTACTTTAAATAACCTTTCTGATAGTTCTAACATCTGCATTATCTCTGTGGCTGGTTCTTTTGATTGCTTTGTCTCTTCACAATTGGTCATTTTTTTTTTCTTAGTATTTTAAGTATCTCATAATTTTTGCTTTAATATCAGTAGAGACTGGGATGTGAATACTATTTTTATGCCCAGAAATGTGGATGCCTTTTCTTATGTCAGGCGTTTTGTGTGGGGAGTTCAGTCAATCCAGGCAGTAGGTGAGCTCAGTTGGGTTTCTTATCATCATTGTTACTTTAAGCACAGCACGAACTTCACAAATTCCTCCATTTCTTCCATTTGAATTTGTCCTTAGTATGGTCCTAGGGTGCTAGAGATTTTGTCTCATTGTTCCTGCTCCACTCTCTGGCGGATCCTCTAGGCCTGTGCCACTGAGGACTTCTCTCTGCTCTCTTGCCTTTCCCTGGGAGTAGATTGCTGTTGCTTGATACTTAGTGCCAGGCTTATGGTGGGGGTAGGGCAACTCCTCCATTCTCCTGATCCAACGTCACTCTTGAGCAGACCCTGTGGGGTCTTCTCAGTGGGCCTTCTCAGTGTTCTTGTCTGTACCCTGCATGACATCCAGACTCTGCCTTGTGTCTGTGGCAGGTCGCAGGCATGAGGGGTTTTCTCATCCCTCGTCCAGTAGTAGCAGACCTCTCCTTTGTATCAGTGCAGAATCCTGGCTCAAAAAGAGTTTTTTTCCCATTCTCCTGAGTGAAAACGCTTTTGCTTTAACTCTACCCCAGAAGCAGTAGATTTTTGCCTGGTCCTCTGGTAATATAGAGTTTCCTATCTCTTTTCCAGGCCCTGGGATGAGAGCATTTGGTATTCTTCCCCCATCAGCCTAAGGGTTTTGATTGATTTTAAGAGAGAGATTAGGGGAAGTGGGTGGTATTTTGTGCCTGTCCTCCTTAATGGCAAGTCACATGCTATCTCTCCAAACTTTCTGATTGTCCAAGCCACCTTCTTCATTCTTTGTGGCTCCTAATTATTGAGGGTGTGCTAAGACCTGTCAGTGTCCCAAACGTAAGGGTCTCAGTCAGCAGCTGGTGCAGGCTGATTGGAAGTCAGAGGCTCTGGCAGCAGCTTTTAAAGTTTGCAAGTAGACTTCCTTCAGGGAAAGACTGGGAGCTGACACTGAGCTCTGGGGAGGGCGGGAGGGTGGAGATAGCCTGTTAAAGAACTGTTTGTTTGCTACAGTCCTATGGGACCTTGTGAACACAAGCCCTAATGGCCATGAGAACCAGATGATCAAGGGATGCATCTTCTAGGTGGCAGCCGTGAAAGCAGAAGTGCCAGACCTGTGTACAAGCTCCTTCCCAGGAGATATTGGTGATTTGGAGAGGGCTACAGGGAGAATGCAGAGATGGTGTGTGCTGGCTTCTCTAGTAGCAGGGGAGGATTGCAGTTCCTAGGTGTGTGTTAAGATAGGATCCTGACTCTCAGGCTGCAGCTTTTAAGATGTGCAAATAAGCTCTTTCAAGGAAGGGCTAGGAGATTGGCATTTCTGTCTGCTGTCTCAGAGCTGAGCACTGGGGTTTAGCCAAGCTGAGTCCTCCGGAGCCAGTGAGGAACTGTGGGATTTTGGTTTGTTATCTTACGGTCTCATAGAAGCAAGCCTCATTGGCTTTCAGAGCTATGTGTTCTGGAGAGCCTCTCTCACAGATGGAAGTCTTAACTGGGGGGTTGGGGGGGTGGCTAGATGTTGGGTCCAAAAATCTTCACTCCTCAGGGAGACTCTGTGAGTTTTGAGTTCCTTCCTCATTGTATGCCACTGTGTTGGAGGTGAGATTTGTGGCAAGAGTGTGTCACAGCCTTTCTTACCTGTTACCGTGTTGGTTTTTTTCTTGTTTGATAGGTAGCTCAGCTAGTTACAAGATTTCTTCAAGAGGGAATTGATCTATGTGTAACTGTAGATTCAGTTTGTCCATGGGAGGAGGCGAGTTCAGGAACCTCTTATGTCATCATCTTAGACTGGAACTCCCCATGTTAATGGTCTTAACTGTTTCTTTAAGTGGAAAGATGAATCTATCTGAGAATGAATAGGCTTTATTTATTAGATCGGCATTGGGCTTCTTTGATGTTTATCATATTCATAATTACTTAAAATATTTTTTTCCCTTTGGTCTTGTATTGTTAAAATTGGGGGGTTTTTGAGGGGGAGAGTTTCCTTCCAGGCATTTAGCTTAACACTGGCAATGGATTATCAGATTATTTTAATCAATTTCTGTGCCTTTCTCAAATTCAGGTAAAAACCTATAGTAAAAATCACTTAATATGAGCCATAGCTGAATAACATAGAACTGCAGAGGCTACTAAATCTACCAGTGTGAGCATTTGAAATGATTTATATTCTACATAGGCACAATAAGTAAAATGGAATACTTTCTTTTTCCCAAGATGTGTTTCTTAAAGTGAAATAGTATGGGAGGTGTATGTTTAACACCACCTGCAAGAAAGTGTGTTTTCAAGGGATTAAAAACTGCTCTGGTACTTGAAAACAAAAGTGCTTATTTGTTAACTCTAAAAGCCACAGTAGTGTGCCAATGAAATTTTTTTCTTGACAATATTAAATAAAGTGTAGAGTGTGTGAAGATAAGTGCCAAACCATTTCAGCCATATATAGCATATGACAAAATACCCTAAAAGCCAAGGTTGAGTAAAAATGCTGATCAGGCTGTTTGTTATACTTGTCATTTAGATAAAAGAGCTGCTACAACTGACAGAGAAGAGTATCGTACCCCCTAACAGTGGCAGCATGGCTTAAATGGCAGAGGCTATTCGTTTATTTTCTTCCCTTGGCGGTGGGGGAAGAAGGCAGGTGGTGGAGAAGCACATAATAAAATTCAGTGGCTTCTTTAAAAAGGTTTAGCAGCACAGAGAATTAAAGGCTCTTATTGGGTTCATGGATGTGGATATATAACTATAAAAGTTAAGAGAAAAGTAAAGCCATAAACTTTGGTGACAGTATTTACCTTTTTGTTCACTTTTTTTTAAGCTGTTTTTGCCAAGCATCTTTCGGTGTCCCCAAGCAAAATATATGTATTTTTTTCATTTATGAAACCTTCTGCTAAAGTGATATCCACACACATTAGGCAAGTAGGGATAAAAATGTAACTAGCACATTTTCAAAAGGATCTTCAATCTAAACCTCCCATGAAAGGATTCTAATGACTTTGCAGAGTCAGCACCAGCATTTTTATCAATCTCCACAACCCAAATCATTCTAGGATTTGCTGTCAATTTACTTAAAGTTGGTTCTAAATCTTGCCTCAGCCGCTGGCTTAGGTAGCCAGTCATTAATCGTCATTTAACTTCTCTGACTCAATTTTTTGCCAAAAGTTAGGAATGCTAATAGGTTTATATATTAAGGGGCTGATGTGAATATGAGGTAATTTATGTAAGATTCTTAGAACCTTCACTTAAATCCAATACATAGTAACACTGTCATCAGATAGAATGGACCTTTTAACCTGTATACCGTATTTATTTCTTGTAATCTTCCAAACCAAATCATTATTCTCTAATTAGAAATGGTCTTTTATGATATCACATTTGCCAATAGTCCATTCCCTTTCATCCTCTGAATTTGAAGTTTTTTTATTTAATCCGTTCATGAATATTAGATACCTTTTATTTAATTAACACTATTCAGTCCTTTAATCTGGCATGTTTATAACATAACATTGGATTCCTGTAACATGGAGTTCAACCATCTTGTTATATTTTTCTTACTAGCTTTTATCCCTTATTTTGCAATGGCCCTCTTTCAATGTCTATAGGCCTATCCTACTTCCAGGAAAAAATGAAATAATGTAAAACATCTCTTGCACATGACCTCTTAAATGCTGTAGGACAGCTTTTATGTGTAATCATAGAATTAAAGGAGGTTATCCAGTTTCCTAATCATACCAAATGAAGATGACATTGGAGATGGCTTTAGGCCAGTCATCCAGATCCTAAGCAAGATCCTAAAAATCCTTATGCTCTTTTACCTCCCGTTCCTGAGCCCCTTTTCAGTTTTGACATCTCTTCACCATTCCCTATAACCACAAAATGTATCTTTTATGATACCCTATCCTTTAGTGTTTCCAAAGGCCGTATTTCTGTGTCTTATGAACCAGAATGATCCTTTACTTTTTCTTTAATCTTCTCTTCTGCTTCTGATCTCCAGGATGTTAGGATCTAGTGATTTTTCAAAGAAGGCCTTCACAGAAGGATGTAAAAAAACCTCTTTTGAGACTTGGATTTTAAAAAAAAAAAGTTTGTTAACTCAAGCAAATCTATGCTTTGTTGAATTTGTGAGACTCCTTGCCAATTCCCTTCAACTTTCTTAGTAACTATAATCATGGTCCATCAGTTTGGAACTTCACTTCTGAAAGGTTGATATAAATTAGAACAATTCACATATAAATCTCAAAAAGAAGAAGGATTTATGTCAGTCATGGTGGTAATAATAATTACAACAACATTAATGGCAGCTATGCTTGTCAAGTACTTTCTTTGTGCCAGGATCTCTGCTAAGCATTTTACATATATTATTAGCCTTTATGCCAACCTATTAAATAAATATCTTATTTGAAAAATGGAAATATAAAAAATTGCTGAAATTTGGAAAAATAATTTGTAATTAATACAACAGTTTTAGATGGATAAAATGACCCCAAGACTGGATTTTTGAGTGCTGAATTTGTGTCTCCTAGATTTATGTTGACCTTGAACTAGGTTACTCAGAATACTTCTTCATTTTTAAAACAGGGATTTCTAGCTCACATATTTACTGTGAGAATGTGTAATAATGTCTTATAAACTACAGAGTGTAAGCTGGGGGTACTAATTAAATAACTTCAGGTAAGATTTCCTAAAATTTTAAAAAAGAAAAAAAACTTCGAATGTATCAACACTATAAAAGCTGTTTCTTTGTACAGCCAACTTTTACTAGTAATTAGATGAAAAAGTCTCTTATGTGCCTTTGAAGGGGTTTGTGAATCCAAAGCTGTTTGTTTTTAATTGATGTAGTAGAAGATGGTTGTAATTTGCTTGACATTTCATATGCTTTTCATAGTAACATTTGGATACCCTTTGGACTTTTAAAAAGTAATTTTGCTTTTGGTTATTTTCTTGAGGTAGGGTAATTCAGTTTATTGGGACTACTATGTACTGTTAGGCTTCTGACAGGTAATGCACAGTACTGTATGTACCATTAGAAGATCATCATTCTTGGGCGCCTGGGTGGCTCAGTTGGTTAAGCGACTGCCTTCGGCTCAGGTCATGAT